CTACTAATTTAATAGATAGCTATAGCCGTCCCTAGTCAACAGTTCCATACTTTTTACCATTATTTGGTTAAGTTTTAGGTGACACACTAGAGATCTCTTGACTATGTCTCATAATTTGGTTAGGGTGCATCACTTACAGGTAACATCCTAACAAACTCCAAATTTAGTTGGGTCTTAGCATGACATCTGGGGAATTCTATAACTAAAAATGTTTAAATTTAAATTTATTTTAATTTTTCAGACATAGGTTATCTTAACTAGAAGAAAATAGGTTCAAATGTGCTCGATTTAGGCCTTGTTTTGTTGCGGCATTCCTTTTGAGATTGGGTCAGCAGAGTTTGGGTAAGCGGCATTTTTTTTTGAGATCAGCAGTATTACAGAGATATAAGAAAAGAGATTTTGCAAAAGTCGTGTTAACAAACAACACATGGTAACTGTTTCGCCGATTTAAACCGAAAACAGCGTATTTAAGGAGAAACAAATGAGGCCTTACATTGATCGCAACCTTCTTTGGGTTGACTACGCATACCTCCATCACTACTACTTGTCAATACTCCTTTTATGAAAGCTTGTTTTTTATGGTATCCAAACCCGCATGCACTCAAAGCTAAAAATTTTTACTTGCAGATCCCAAACTTCCAAGATTGTTGAAGATGCTTATATGGATACAAAACCAACTTGATGAGAAGGCCGCTTATCCTCGTATCAATGACTTAACCACAGCGGCACTTGAAGAACCAGCCATTTGAAAGTGTATTCCATGTAAGCGGTGTGATCTTGCATTTCCAGTGGAGTCATACGGTGTCTTGTGAATAGCTTCTTCTTGTTATCCACTTATGATTCCTTAGCACTAATTTAGTATTTATAAGTGCTATTTCTCTGTTACAATCATGTTGCTCTGTAATTATAACTTCAGTTTCATATTCACAGCTAAGTATAGAGTTTTTAGTTATACTTTCTGCATTCTGGTATTGTTTGATGAGTATTTAATGGTACTGTTTATGTTTTCAACTTTTCAGAACTTGATCTATTGAAGAGAAAGCTGTTTCTTATTTTCAATAGATCGTTGAGTATTATTTCATCTCATATTTCTTAGTAGCAGTAGATGCATGTTATTGCCATTCTTTTCTGTTATTTTATTTGCTCCTACGTCTCAATAACATAATCAGATATGTGTTAGACCGGTCGAACTCCAACCGGCCCCTCCGGTTCTTTGCTACAGGAGGAGGGCCTGCGGCAATACCAAAATGAGAGAGTGAGGGGTAGGGCCCACTAGGAATTCAAATTCAAACTATTTGGAGGCAAAGGAGGGGGTGACAAGGGCAAGGGAGTAATTTAGCTTAATTAATTAATTGGATGCTTTAAGTAGGATGAAGGAATTAGGGTTAGGTTTTCATGCATGATTATTGTTTCTTTTGGAGTTCTCTTTGGTGTTTTGGACTCTAGACTTTTAGTCTAGAAATTGGGAGAAAACAATCCTCTCAAATTGAGGATGAATTTGTATCTTTGTTTCATTCTTGCTTCGCTTTGATTTCTATAAGATTATCTACTGTTTTTATTATTTCCACCAAAGTTCTTTTATTTTTCTCGCTGTTTTACTGATTTAGATTTGCTTGCGAACTCATGTATTTCCCATTAGGGTTACTTGCGAACTCAAGTATTTCCTATCAATATATGATGACTAATCATAGAAAAATAAGAACAAGTCTATGATCTTACTTTTTACTGCATAACACTTGATGTGATTCCAATATAGTGAACTATGTCAAATCTGGGTTGAATGTGATTGGATTAGTGAAAATAGATATTTGGATTAAATGTTTTTTTTGTAATTGCTGGGAAGTAACTCATTAGAATTATACTAGTTTCCTTTTTTAATTTGAAGAAGACTGAAGCAGCATACAGATCTTAAAGATCAATTCAGTCCATCCTGAAAAATTGCTTTTGCATCACTGTTTTGAATATGCTAGAATTGCTAGTTTAACCGGTGAATCGGTCCCGATTTCGTTGAATTGATCTGTTCAATTGGCTAATTAATCATAGTAATTTATTACATTAAATATTAAAGATTAAGTATTGCAAATGCATTTGACAAGCTTTAGAAGTATATTTGCTTGTCGGATGCATATGAAAACTAAGATTTCATTTGGGACGGCTTTCTTAATGTTTTTTAAAACATTTTTTTAGTATAAAAATTTTAATTTTTTATTAAAAAGTTATTTTAAGAAGCAATAAAAAATTGTCCTAAACGAAACCTAAGGCTTTGTTTGGGATGATTTTTTTATTATTTCTTAAAATATTTA